GCCAGGAAAATGGTTCCAGGCCGCCTTCCTGCGCCGCACGCCCAAAAATGTTTTCGACCGGTCGCCGCCGATCGTGTTATATTATAAACTCACGCATACCGTACGCCATATATGTACGTGTACTGTGTACATGTGGAATATGAGACGATCGAGCCACTATACTAATATGGGGGTTGGGGGTTGTATAAGGGGACTCCAAAAAATATTGTTAAGATTTTAGACATTCTTAAATTTTAATCCCGATTCATAAACTCTTGACAGTGTTCTATACAATCACTGAAGATTGGTCCACTCCACTCGGTTTTTTTATCCTCTAAAAAACAAAAATCCATGTTACTCAAAATTGCTTATTATACTTATGTATAAAATATTATCTGTAGATTGTACATTTTATTTGTATTTTTTCATTTTTTCATTTGTATTTTTAGGTACCCGTCGCGTTTATTGTTCACATCACGACTATCTACCTACTCATCTTTCCTGTAGTTTAAATTGCTAAATTTATCACGAATTATAAGTGTGTGTGTGACTTCTATTTAGATAGGTACCACAAGTTCACAAGCAATTGGTTGTTACTTGTTATCGAAATATTATATATATATATATTATACCTAACATAAATAATGGCATATCTTAACATTTAATATCTATTATAAATACATAATAATATAATATATTATCTATAACCAAATAAATAAACAAACAAAAATCTATAGATTCTGATACTCGATACTAGACACATGAGTATCGTATTGAGTGTATCGAGCCCGATCAAGTGATCGAATAAAGTATAATACCAATGAGTATAATATATTGTATATTATACAGAATATATACTCAATGATAATACCTATAATATATTATGTGATATTATACTGCGAGTATCAAAGGGAAGTGTCGGTCTTCAGATTTTAGCGACCGGAACGGTTTAGATCCACGTTCAAGCCTATTAAACGCAAGTGATGGGCCGTATGAATTTTTACACTGCAGTCGTCGCAAAACTCGCAATATATAATACATTACTTATGTCTATGATGTCGTTTCACTTCACACCGCTATACTTTGTATTTAGTAGGTATGTAACATTATAACATCACAAACGTTATCAGCTGTCTCGGTTTTGTCGTGTGAGGCACTGAGGCATCACTCACTATACGAGGGATGATAGACAAACAAAACCACGATGGCTTTCAATTCACGGGATGAGAGTACCATTGCCGCCACGACCTACTGAATCGCCGTCACACACACACACACACACATACATACACCCCAGTTATATACATAAAAATATAAAAATAAAATATACCTCTGCATAATAATATACACCACGCCGTAGAAGGAGCGCTGATCGTGACGCCCGCCGCGTCCTGCAACAGCGTATCCTCAGATTCGATTTAATTTTTCCACCCCCCCCCCCCCCCCTCCACCATCCTTTGGATTTGTTGTCTATATCAACATTTTGCGACGGGGTATGCTTTCCAGACACTTTGTCTCTATGACGAGAGTAATGACAACGAAACAGCAGTGCATAATATACTGCAGCAAGCTATTATAGCTATTGACTCGTTACTGTATAAATGTATACAAATATACAATTATTATATATTGTGCGTTCTCCGGGCACGCGATATGATAATATTATTATGCTAAAAACATTTATGATAAAAACGCTTGGATAGTCAAATATTCACAAAAAACGATTGTCTATACGAGAAAAAAATCACATGCGTTTTACATGACTTGCAAACGTTATAATAGTTATACAACAAAAAACGATTGAAATATGTAAACGTTATTAGAACGGAAAACGATAATGAAAAAATATTAAATACCGCAAAACAAAACATAACGATCAACAAAGTATAATATTTTATATCATTAAACAAATATAATGCAAAACGTAATTTATAGAATATCATTGAACAAAAAAACGCGAAACGAAATATTTTAAAATGTATTTATTTAAAAGGTCTATTGGTTTCGTAGAAACATTTATTTCATGCAGACAATCTAAGAATCTAAGAATTGATTATATTATATTCCGTATTCGGGCCATTGCCTACCCGCATTAATTATTAGTTTTAAGTGTAATAGTTACTAACACTATTTTAAATAACGATAAACGAAAATCTTGGATAACGTTTTAATTGTAAATAACATAAAAAGAAATTTTTTTCAAATGCAAGCCCTGCTTATTTGTGGTCCGCGGATTTTTGACAATATTAAGGACACACGGTGTTTGTGGGTCCGTATGACCGTATAAGACTATCGTTATAGTTGTTATATATTTTTTTAACGATTCTCCGTTTACCGAAAAATATGAAGTACCTACCTATGCGGTCACACGTATCATAATTTATGATTAATAAATTATATTATACATTTATTACATGTGACGCACAAAGTACAAACAAAACGTGTCGAAAATTGAAACATTTACAATCTGAATAGTATTTTAAACACGTTGATTAATTAATATTATTGTATACATTTCATTGTTATAATATCTTTTTACCTTTTAATAATTGTAAGAAATTACCTCGGGAGGCCGTAATTTTACGGAAAATAATTGACCGGAATGATAAAAAATACGGAAAGTAAAATTACGGACCGTAATACTGCGGAACGTAAAATAACGGAATTTAGTTGTTCAAACCATAATTTTGTGGAACGTAAATTTACGGAACCAGAAAAATACGGAATGTAATATCACGGATAGTATAATTACGGAACCAGAAAAATGAGGAATGTAATATCACGGATAGTAATACCCTGGACTGTATTATCCAGGAACGTAAAATCACGGACCGTAATTTAGCGGAAAGTAAAATGACGGAATTTATAATACCATAAACCAATGATTCTCAACATAGGTACATCTAATTACAAAATGGTCGAATCAACTTAGGTTTTTTTTAAAATCTTTTATAAATTATTTATTATTAGCAAAATTTACGACAGTTGCGAACATATAATTTTTATCTTAAATGGAAGGCACAAAGAGTCCCTCCTAAGTCCTAACATGACTTTTTGATAAAATGAAAATACATTTTTGAGGTTAATTAACTACCTACCTAGCTATTTAGTTTAAAATATAGGTACCACATAATTAAATACAATGATTTTGAAGTTTTTGAACCATTTTATAATATAAATATAAACAAATCAACCATTTTTTAGTCTCGAAATGTTTTGATTTTTAGGTAATAAATTCATAAGTTTAATTTGGAGGATGTCAGGGAAGGCCGAAATGAAAAAAAAATACTTTAAAAATCAAATAATATCTATTATCAATTCAAAATTAATAATAATAAGTTAGGTACCTATACATACTACCTAAATGCAGAAAATATTCAATGTCAATACAAACATCACCACCATTCTAGACATAACTTCATATGACTTAAGACATTTTGAAATTCGTACTTGTTTAATGTTTTATAATAAAGTGTAGGTATTTATATTTTGTTGTCATGGATCTATTTAACTAATAACTAAATAACAGACCCTATTCACTATTCAGTATCTAATTAGTGTTCAGTAGGTATTTCAGTTAAAATGTTAAGTAGGTACCTATCTATATTACATAGTATGTATTCTTTTACATTTTTAAAAACTTTATAAATTATAAATCAACCGGTTTGAATTATGTTAGTAAAAACTTGAAACAAGTCTTAAACACTTTTATTTTTAATAATAAAAGAAAAACGGAATTTGAGTAAAAATAGTTATTTTAATATTTATTTTTTTTATATATTGTATTGTAAATGTCAAAAAAGGCTAAGCCCGTATAACTAATAAAATAATAAACAGGGCGATTTCCGATACGTCATACGTATATTTTTATTGTTAGGTATATTAAAAAAAATTCATAAAATGTGTATTGTGTATACAAGATTTCAATCACATTATTTAAGTACCTACTACTACCTAGGTACTAATTAGTCGTATGATAGGTGTATACAATATGATTTATAACGAGTTGTTAATTTATTTTTCTTTCACGAACATAAAATAATATTAATAAAGAATATCAAAAAAATATTTTCTTAGTTAAAAATAATATAGTTAATGAATAATTATTATAATGTACATCTTTTTTGTGTATAGTTTTGTATCTTTAACGCAGCAGAGTACCTTGGACCTCGGTAGTAGCCACTAGCCAGTAGACATAATTTGTATTGTATCTTATCTAGTAAGTTATAACCAGTGTTGATAAATACCTACCAATTTAAAGGTTTTTTTGGTGTAGAACACTTTTTAAATAAGTTTCTAATATTTTTGCCTTAAAACTTAATATAGTACCTACCTATTTAAAATAGCTACTTTTTTTTTTAACAAATTTTATTTTGATAACACTTGTTCAATATTATAGCTTGTTTTTCACATTACAACTTTTGTATTTTCATCAAATACTTGTACAAAAATATATTTTGTTTTTACATGGTTGTTTCTTTAAATAAATTACTACCTAAAGTGGGTAAAAGTTTTTAAACACTTTTTATAGGTATTCTTTAAAAACCTGGTTGTAACTTACTTATTTAATAGGTTTACAATTTAGTAATTAGAATCTTGTATTTAAAAATTATAAATTAAGTTGGTATCAAGTACCTCTTACTTAATCAAACAAATTAAATGTGTTTTGTTTTAGATACCAACTCTGTTCTAGTATATGGGTCATCCCTCATTCCCTCAACCCTCGTTATAAGTAGATTGGTTTCATCAAAAGAACCTTTCATTAATTATGGATACTAACCTATATAATAAAATATTTAATTTAAATCTCAGAATTTCTTTTTCAATTTTAACATTTGGTATTCTTTAAAAAAAATACAAAAGAGTAATAACTACATTTCAGTATATAACTATACACTATATTATGTACATGATGCAGGTGACTAGGTAGGTACTTAATATTCATAATAATTGTATATATAATATAAAATTTTAATTGAATAGGTATATTAATACAAAATAATGAATTATTAACAAATAGATTAAGACAAAAACATTCTTTGAAAACGAAGTACATCTCCTCGACAAACTGGGCACGTTCTACGATGTTGACCATCCAACACTGAAACGCATGTTTCGCACACCCAGGCGTGACCACAAGGCAACACTATATGTTGAGCTACATTTTCACCAGGAGTAGTAGTTAAACAAACCATACAATTCCTTGGATTGTGTACTACTTCTGGTGCATTTTGTGGTACTTCTGGACCTGGTTCAACAAAGTCGTCTTGCAAAACATCATCATTTGACTCATGATCATGTTCAATACCAAGTGCCCAATGTCTTTGCCTTCTTTCATAGCCAGCACATGAGTATGAACATTTCACTAGAAATTGCCATACACTTAATAGACCTGCTTCATGATGTTCAACAGCCCTTTTTATCAACCTTGAGTTTAGAAGGTACTTAGTTTTAAGGTTCCTTGTTGGTTGCAGACCATTGGAAATTTGAGTAACCGTCGTGTGGTACTTTTGGCTCAACTCACATATTTGACCTGATGATTTAACCAAATTTATTATTATAATAATTATTTATAATATATTATGTGTTTATTATACGAACATAATATAATAATATGTATATAAATATATATATATAATGTTTATAACAATATAACTTATAAAATATAATAATATATAGCTCATAGACATATTAATATGTATATGTTAATATTTATATGTCTATGACATAGCTTCATATTATCAAATTATGCAGTTTAGCAAACAGTCAGAGATTGTCTTAACAATTAACATCATATGTATAGTTAAATGCCTACCATATTATATAATTTGTAAAGTGACTCTAATAAATGTTTACTTTATAGTTTAAACCATTTATAACAAGTAATCATAAATGATAATATACCTAGCTAAAAGCTTAATTTATTTAATGTTGATTTTTTGGAAAGTGACACAATATTTTTAAATCCTGCTATGAGAATGTAATGAGGGCCCATCTGGGAAATAGCACACCAAATATATGAGGTACAACTAAATACTAAATAGTCAATTAAATGTTCAACACCTTTGCAAATTATTTTAATATTATACACTAATACACATTGTACAGTATAGTGTTTACTTGACATTAAGACATTAGGTATAATATTACCCACATCTATTATTACCTATATACCAATATTGGTAGTATTACATTTTAAAATAGTTAGGTATGTATTCAAGAACTTATGGTATAGCATAAAACCACCACTGAAACACTCAAAGGTACATTCTAATTTTAGATCCAAACTTGAAAGTTTAAACCTATGTTAATTGAATTTACCATTGTGTGGATTTCATCTGGTGATATAATAAAAAGTTCTATTGCTAATGTCCATGGTTGCCGATACTTTAGACCAGTGGTTCTCAACCGGTGTGCCGCGGCACACTAGTGTGCCGCGAGATTGTCTAGGTGTGCCGCGAAAGATGTTATTAAATATTGAAAACAGTGTTTTATTTCGTGACATTTATTTTTAAAAATACAGCAGCATAATAATATTTAAAATAATTTTTAAACTTTAATTTACGTGTACATTTACGTCGTCTACAGCCTACACACGTGCAGTTAAAACTGTACTATTCGATTGAACAGTTTTATCTGTACAGATGAAATCATACGAGTGTAGATTAATACGACGTAGTTTTTAGAACTGTACAGTTTTTCGGAAATAAATTTAAATTATCAATTGACCAATTGTGTGCTAATTGTGCAGATAAGACGATACCGGATACATGTATAGGCGCGTGGCGATAACTAATGTCTTCGGCGAATTTATCGAAGTTGTTGTGGTTGTCAAGTGCGTGAGTGTGCCGTTAAAACTTGTGGTGTATAATAGTGTGCCGTGAACTAAAAAAGGTTGAGAACCACTGCTTTAGACCAATAAAAAAAGAAAAAAGTTATATTTTATTGACAAAAATAAAATAAAATGTATTAAAAGATATTGTTTTTTAATAGTGAAAAGGTGTTGTTTTTAGTTTTTACATAGATAAAAAATAGAAATTAATTTAAACTTACCAAGAAAGACCCATAAATTTGGATGTGCAATAGAAAACTTGTGTCTCAAAAAGTTATGAAAGCTCTCCAAGTTGTTATTTGTCCTTCTTGAGACACCATTTACGGATATGATGTTAACTCCGACACGTCGTATCCAGTAACTTTAAAGTTTAACCATAATAAAAAATGTGTATTTTAATAATTGAAACACATTTATATAGTACATAAAATTATTATGATGTAATACTTTTGGTAATATTCAAACAGGTTAGTTAATGGAACGTTGTGGTGGATAGCATATGCTTTAGTCAGTAGAAAACCTTGTTCAATTTCTGCACTGGGTAATAATGGCAAACACATTAGAATTTTTAAGGTCTTCAAAGCATATGCATTTGAATTAACGGTTTCTAAATAATTTAATGATTTCATTTTTTTCCATACTGCCTGTAAATTAAAATTATATTAAAATTAAAAAATATTAAGTGATATATATATATATTGCTTATAACTATTTATACTGAACTTCTACATTTTGTTTTGTTATAGTTATAAAACTTTGAGAGGAAGTAATAACCTAATTTGCTTCCACCTATCTAACTAGTATAAAATACACCATATTTGAGAAAATGACATAAGTATTTGTAAAATATTATTGTTTTAATGTAGAAATTAGTGATATTATTTCAAGACTGGAAAATTTACAACACAATTAATTTTATTTTAGAAAAAAACATAATATTTTATCAAAAAGGATAATAAATATTTAAAAATTAAAAAATATTTTTATAGTCTCTTATAGTCTTATTCAAATTTAGTAGGCAATAGGTGTAGAAACTCAAATTTCAACCCAGAGTATTACTTTTATTTCATGCAATGTAATTTTGCTATATTTCCCTTTAATACAGGACTAGACAGCATAAGCGGGTGCCGGTTATCAGTCAGATATAAAATTATGCTAATGCATAGAAAAATGTCCAAAATGCAATATTTAACAATAAACCATATTTATAAATAGTAACAAATTATTCACAAAATTAAAAACATTTACTCTTCTCTAAAAAATGTAAATGTTTATAAATAAAAAACTTAAATCTACATTTGATTTGTGTATATAGGTACCTATATAAACTTTTTTGGAAAAATAATCTAAATTGGTTTATTACCAACTTAAAGTTCTAATCAACATTAGATATACTGACCTGATTATGATGGAACCAACACCCTAAGACACGTGTCCCTTCAACACCTACACTAGAAGATAATGCATCTCTAAGTGCTGGTTCAAAATCAGTCATTATCAATGACGGCGATAAGTTGGGAAATAAATTGTTTTTCATATAATCCATCACGCATTGATACGAGTTTCTTGATTTAGTTTCCATTAGCGCATAGGCTATTGGTATCGACTGCAAAATAAAATATCATGTTTTAATTACAATAATTAACTACAATAAAAAATGTTAATTAATGATTAATTAACATTTTCTGTTAGGTAGGTATTGTGTATCAAAATAATAATAATTAATAACTAAATCAAAAATAATTATTAAAACTTAACTCAATATAAAATTAAATATCACTTACTACATTATCCATCATAAAATGAATACTCAGCAGTTGACTGCCCATATTAGCAGGTACTACTTTAAATGTAGCATCCGCGTGGACCTCGGTTATGCCATGTGACAGAACTAAATTAATTAAGTGTCTACATGCTAATATAACACTGTATTTACCTAAACATACATTTTTTATCTTAGTAATCCAGATATAATACTTTATTTCTCTATACATTTTATCACACAATTTAAATTAATAGGTACCTAGCATATATAAATATAAATATTATAAAATACAATATATTATTATAATGAACTAAATAATCATATTATTGGCCTACTGTCCATGTAGGTATTTTGATCTATTAATTATTGTAACTAGAATTTAATTTTATAAAGAACTGATACAAATTATGGGTTCTGAATGTTTCATAATATATTTATCAAATATAAAGTATAACATAGGTATCATCAAAAAAATTCCTAGTAAATTTTAAGAAAATGTATTTACAAATAGTAATTATAAAAGATAAAACTAAAATTGTATATCCAGATATCTACTACCTATAGATTATTAGATAAAAAAAACTAAGAATCTTTGAAGAATCAAATTTTGACAATATTGTCATCAAAACTTTAATTTCTGTAAGGTATAATTTGACTATTGTAAAAACAATTAAAAATTAAATATAAATATTACCATCAGAATCTCTAACTGATCCACTAAATATGGAATTGTTGCAACACATATATCTTGATAAATCTCCATTATCGAATTTGACAGCTAACTCATGCAACGATTGAGGCAGAGCTGGTAGGGAAGATCTCCTAACAGAGCGCATTATACTTTCTGCAGTTGACCAGGGGTAAAGACCAGCAGCAACTCTGTGTCTAAAATACATTAATATATATTAGCATGATCAAGTAGGATACTAAAAAATGTATAGTATATGGTACAAGATATAATTATTAATAAAAGAACAATATTTTTTAATGATATTATTCAATACATGTACTAGTGTACCATATATGAGTTACCTTTGTGCTTCATTATCATAAATTAGTTTCAATGAGATGTTTTCATTTTTAGATCGTTCCTTCAATGCATCTCTAAATAAAACAATCAGATTTGATTCATCGTCTCTATTTGCAATGTGTGCTCTTGAATGTGGTTTTAATTCAGAAAATGTACCATCAACGTTTTTCCTAGCAGTTCCATCACAAAAGAACTCCGTAGATTTCGCACATTTATAGTAACTAAAAATATTAAAGTCATTAATATAAAACATGGTGAATGATTAGGGATGAATGCAGTTTAGCTCAAGAGATTTTTGTGATTTTTTTGTTTGAAAATGTGTGGTTTTACATGTATGTTTATGATGGAGCTTTCAAAAAAATTCAAATCTCCTTTGGAAATGACGGTAAAAAAGTCTTCATAACTCTCAAGTCGTGTTTGCAAGTTTGAAGTGCCTACCAAAAAATTACATTTTTGAATTTTTTTTCGTAAATTTGTATTTTTTTTACCTCAACAAAAATGGTGGAATCAGAAGTTTTTATGTTATTGTTAATAAAATAATTTTAAAAGAAATTAAAGATCTGAAGGGTTGACGAATGGGAATATTGTGAAATTAAATAATGATTATAAATGATTAGGTAGGTATATTTATAAATTATAATAATATTATAGTGTTAAAATAGGTTTCGGAACTTCTTGCATTTGCATGTTTTTTGTAGTCGTCGTAGTCAGTACATTATTCTAGGTAAATTATAAATTTGTTTTATGAAATGGCAAAATTAAATATAAAGTTTGAATTTGAATATTTTTGCATATATTGTTATATTTTAGGAAAAGCCCTGCATGTTTGAACAATTTCTAACATATTTTTGCACTGCTTGCATTTTTTTTTTATTTAAATTACTTAAAATTTTATTTTCGAGTTTTTTATTTCTAATCCTTTTTTCAAAAATAATACAAAAATTTAGATGCATATATTTAAGCATATTTTGAAAATGTTTACTGCATATTTCGATGACTATTAGTGCAAAAAGTCCCGAACCTTAGTTATAAATAAAATATGCAAAATACTAAACTTCTAAAGGATATAAGTAGGGTTCGGGACTTGTTGCATTTGCATATTGCTTAATAATGACTGCAGAATAGTACAAGTAAGATTTAAATTTGTTTTAAGTCGTAACGGATTGAAATACAAAAATTTTAATTGCATATTTTTGCATATTTTGTCGTTTTCTGAGCAAAATGCATATTTGACAAATTTTGGCAGTTTAATTGTTATTTACAGCATATTTACGCAGTTTTTGTTTTACGTTAAGTACATTTATTTTAAAGGTTAACTTTATTTTTTTTATTTTCATGCGTTGTTCAATATCTCTTTTCTAATGTCTAATTGTACAGTCAAACTTTACAGGTAAACAATTCATCGTTTTATATTTAATAATAATTTAATATATTAAAGAAAAACCCAACCTTTTTTTTATTGTAGGAGAAGACGAAGAAAATGAAATCGAACATACACTTCAGTAATATAATGTCGATAGTGTTATTGTAGTCAAAAAATGACTAATTACAAAAGAAGGTCTAAATTTAAATGAATAAATCAAATTTTTTAATTTAAAAAAAAATATTCAATTGCATATTTTTGTGCATATTTCGGTTATTTTAAGTGCATATGTGCATGCATATTTCCTATAATTTGTGTGCAATAAGTCCCGAACCCTAGATATAAGTTATACTTTGAAACTATCTAAATCCAACCGATAAATTCTGATTGCACCATTGTTCTTCAATGGTTGAAAAAAGTACAATGGTTTCAGGAAAAAAATAGCTAAACAGGATTTATGCCTAATAAAAATCAAAATTCGATCAACTGTTAGTTGATTTTTAATTTTTAAATATTTGTTTCATGTTTGTAGCGTGTAAACTATTATTCCTATAGTTCATACTAGGTAGGTATACAGTAATATATTATTATATTTTGTTACTTACGCGATTCCATTTTTTTTCCCATTATGCCTGTACATAAAACCATTTAAGAACATGATTATATATATAATATAATATTATATTATAATTAAATCGGAAAAAACTCGAGAAATTGACACTTAACAATTTGCAGTACCAATAACGTATGCGAACCGTATTGAATCGTATGAGTGTATGACGGTTATTCGGCTATGTTTATTAACGAGCGGATAATATATTTGTGGTTGTATTTATTTTTATAATATGAGTATAATATTAATAAGACTACACTGTCTAGTTTTTCAACGTTATTTCCAAATTCCAATATCAGCCCGATTCTTCGAACTTCAAATTACCAATTAGAACGTCTGAACGTGTTACATAATAATCAACTCTACCTATAGTCTATACCTACCATTATTCAATATATATAAATTTAATAATCGGCGTTTGTTGATAATATGTTGGCTTATATAGTTATAACTTATATTTACGGTTTTTAATATTTTGGTTTTTGGTTTTTGCTCTGATGTTACTTTTTATTTCAACACTGGTCATTTATTATATCATCGTTTTTTAGTTTTTAAGAGGACTCTACACCCGCATGTGTTGTCCCCGTCTTATAAAATATGTAGAAAATAATAAAACTGTTTTGCGAGGGTAAGAACCACTCAGATTGTATAGTCCAAGTTAATCAACCAATTTTCGCACTACAAAGAGAAGAACATTGACTGTGCAACATTGTTTTTAATTGTTCGATACCATAAATACAATAAAAGCTCTTATTGTTAAAAATTGATTATTTTTGAGTTTTTCGAACTTGAATAACTTTTTTTTTAGTTCTGATATCGAAAAAATAAAAGCAACGTTGCACAATTAAATATGTTCTCCTTTTTATAGTGTGAAAATCTGGTTGCTTAGCTTGGACTATAGTTCGAGTGATTCTTAACCGCGCAAAACAGTTTTTTCTATGTTTTACATTTGAAAGACGGAGACACCACATGAGGGTGTAGCCGTAGAATCCTCTTGAAATAATTAATTATTATTATACCTAATAATATAATTAATAAATTTTTAATATATTTTTATAATATAATCGTATTTCTTACTTTTGTATTTTTAATTTTCAACTTACAGCACTATAGTATCACATAACCTCTACTAAATACTAATCGATACAAGTATAGGTAGGTATTCTATAACGTGAACGGAGTATAGCTATTATAGCCTATAATCTATACCACACAGCAATATTCAATCACATTAAGGTGATCACTGATCACATTAAAAAAACAAAAACTAAGATGATATCTTATTATTTCCGATATCTTCTTACACTACTTATATTCTTTGGTACCGCAGTATAGCTAGAACATTGGTCTATGTGAGGTGGGAGGGGAGCTTCATTTTTTTTGTGTTTCAAAAATTGGAAAATATGATGTCACAACTCACAAGTTCCTCTTAAGATGATCTTACAACGATTTAAAACAATCGAATAATTACACACTATAGGCAAATTGTTCAAGCACGTGGACGTGTTTTTAAAACGCCGAAAACATACAGTTTGAATGATATAGCCTATTTTGGATAAGACCATTCACATTTGACACTTAGTAAACAGCTTTTCTGTTATTATTTTAATTTTTTTTTTCAATTTTAGATTTTCATAGACGCAAATAGCGAATAGCAAATAGCGAGTTTTTGGGTAGCTAAAACCCTACTTTAATTTTAATGAAAAGCTTATGAACATTTTTGTGGGTGATTGGCCCCTTAAGCCCCCACCCTATTTGGGACTGAGGTTTGTATATTCCTGGTTAAAATAATTAAATTGGAAACGATTTTTATTTAATAATCGCATGATTCATGAATATTTAATTAGACAATTTATAATACCGTTATAAAGTATACATAATATTATGAACGTAAAGTTGGCCCATCCGCTTTGGAGTATCAGTATTATAGATATCGACACAAAACCTTTTTCAATATTTTGCGAGAATTGGTGAAAAACTGAGACATATCACATAAGTACATAACCACAATACCACATAGGCAGCAGACCTATTTGGCATGTCGCGAGCACACGCTAAATATAATATGGAATATTTCTTCTTTACCAGGCTATTTTTTTTTTTTTTGAAACACATACCTATAACCTATTATCATAGTGTAATCGTAGATAATTATTAAAAATCGAAAAATTTGCCAAATTCAAAATGTATATAGGTACCCGTGCATGATTATTCATACTGCACTATAATTATTTCAAAACTAATGATTTGCGCAATTGTTTAGTATTTATACCGTACATCGTACACAATATCGTGTTATTTTCAAGACTGCAGTTTGCGTGTCAACCTATTTACAAATTTTACCAGTCACTGTTTTTCCCACCAAACCCATTTACAAAATTCGTCCAAAGTATAGAAATTTGTTATTTGCAAACTTTTTTTTATAATTTTTGTATGTAAAATTTAGATATGAACACAAAATATTAAACATTTTTTATCTATAAAACAATTTACAATACATAATCTTGAATTCTTTGAATTTTTGAATTTTTGAATCCAAAAATAATCTTCTGATTGCGTATTTTTATTTTCTGAAATAAAAACTTAATAGAATATAAAATATTTTGAAAATTATATAATATGTCTTGTAAATGCTTATATGAATATTTAGTAAACATTTCAAGTCTAAGGTTATTGTTTTGAATTATAACAAAAAAAACAAATCTGATATGCTGGTACCTA